AGGTTCTTGCCTAGTTCAAAACCACAGAACATATTGTTCTACCTCTGCAGGGCCGGAAACCAGTGTCTCGTTTGTTCGGTCCTACCTCTGCAGTTCTGGAAACCGTGTCTTGTTCTTGCTTGTGGTTTTCTCTGTACCACGAAATCTTTAAGACAAATGTCCACACATCTGTCTGCCACATCATGTTCCTGGCCCCACCCAGGATGTTGATGATTTTGGTATCATAAAGGATACCAAGAACTGAGGAGCTGTATTTTCTTTCCTGAGGAAATCAAACACGAGGGAAACATTAACGTATTGATATCAGACAAGAGCTTTTTTGGCAAGGCACTACCTTTTGCTCTCCTATTTGAAGAGCAGAATACCACTAGGTGTCCAGAAAGTATCTCAATAGGGACAGAGAGTATGGGAAAGAGAGGCAGAAGAGAGAGGGGGGAAGAGGAAAAGTGAGGGAGGAAGAAAGAGAAGGAGGGAATGACTGAAGGAAAGCAGGCAGGCAGAAAAGAAGGGAGGACAAAAGGGACATAGCGGGGAAAGGAGCCCATGTGCTGGGTTTGGAAGGCTTCAGGAGTGCTGAGCTTTCTCCCCATGGACAAGAGGTGCTCCTTCTCCTGGTGTGTACATGGCCTTTGGTGGCTGCTGCCCCCAACATGGTCTGCAGCACAACCTGGAAATAGCAGCTGTAATTCACAGGAGAATCCACTCTCTCTAATGCATACTGGTACACCCGTAATTAGGAATTCAATGAAAATTGCCCCAAAGGAAATTAGAAGAAACCCTTGTCAAAGGGTGGATGGAGGTTGGAAGAACTGTAGTCTATTAAGGAAACATGAAATATAGAAAATGGCAACAACCAGGAGGCTCTATGACCTCTGAAATACTCTGCCTCACATAAAACTGGCCTTGAATCCTACTGATACAAACCCAGAACAACTCTGCAGTTCTTAGTGTAATTGTTTTTGTAGTCAGCTGCCCACCAATTTTGAATGTCCCCTTCACTTACAGCCAAAGATATGTAAGACATTAAAGGCTTCACTTAGTACCACACCCTCTTGCTTCTCTCTAGAACAAAAGCCCCAAAAATCTGAAAATTCACAAGGCAGAAAATGGAGCTGTATTTCTTCACTTTTACAGATCCCTGGGCCAAACCCTTAGTGGGTTACATCTCAAGTGGAATCATACAGCAAGGGGAACTGTCCTGGAAATACCAGACCCTACACAGCTCTGCACACAGATTTGCTCCTCCATTCTTGCTTTGAGGGGAGCTTCGGGGCTGTTCTCACAGGTTTTGTAGTGAAACCAAGAAAACTCTGTAGCAGGTGCTGTTCCTTGTCTCAAGCTCCCCCATTAATAGGGGCAATACAGAGTCAAGCCCTGGACCTCAAAATGCACCAAAAAGATCTTACAGGCAGTTTATGATGTGAAGGATCATTTTCACATGATGTAGCAAGTGTGCAGGTTGATGTAATGATATTGAACACCCAGACATGGACACCCACATGGTGCTATCAGATGGGAAAAGGAAACAGGTGCCTTTGAACTGGGATTTCATTTACACATGGCAATCATTAGCTCCTTTTATGTGGTTTTGTAGCAAGAAAGGTAATTTTTTCCTATTTTACAGACAAGGCAGTGAACTAGAGGAAGGCAAATCCTTCTGTCTCAAGTCCCTCAGTGAACTTATGGAAGGGACTCCAAGGCAATACCTGAGTGAGTCTATGGAGCAAGGCTGTCTCAACTCTACCTTAACTTCCAGAGCCCAGGACAGCATTGCAACCCTCCTGCCCTGCTTGTGAAACCTAATAAACCTCAAACTTGTTCTTTGAGCCCGCACAGGTCTGCATGACTGGTATCATGGATTAAATCACTTGGAAGAGTGAGTGAAGGCTCAAAGAGGCCAGGGCAGATGCAGCAGATCCCTTCCCAGTGCTTCACCTGGTGCTTGTGGAGATGTGGAGTATCAGAGGCAACTCAAAGGAGGTGGTGACTGATGATGGTTCAAAACTATTTCACAGCTAGCACAAGCCTTGAGCTGTAGTCATAGAAGCTAAACCACCACCTAAAGGACAGCAGATGACAGTGAAAAACCTGCCTGAAAACAGTGCTTCACTCCAGGGATGCTCTAGGGCACAGAAGTCGGTTACTGAGTAATTCCAGCTCTGCAAAGGCCATGTGGAGTGGGAGGGAGTGGAACATGTTGGGAAATCGATTTGAAAGATTTATTTTTGGTATCGTTTTTAACTCCTGATTTGGCTGGTAAAAGGCTGTCAGGATTTTCCTTTATTTTTCAGGAAAGTTCAGGCATGAAAGAAATCCCAAATCTCTGGTCTCTAACTTCGTTAATACAGTACAGCAAGTGGATGCAAACTGTGATCTACTGATTTTTCTACCAGTATCGATAGACTTGCAAGAACAAAAATTGTTATTAAATGACATGCACCTAGATTTTTGAGATCACACAATCTAATAGCAAATTCCTAAGGCTGAATAGCTGGGTACTTCAGGGACACCTTTATACTTTCTAGACAGTTAAATAATGCTTACTGTGCTCTACCAGGCACTCTCAGCAAAGACAGGATCCCATAGTTTGTATGTACCTCTGACTTCAAGCTTCACATGTCTGCCTTCCCCTTCCCTCAGAACTGATGTGTATGTTGAAGTTGTCTTGGGTATTTCAAAACTACAGTGCCCTTGCTTTTGCCTGCCTTGTGGCTGGGCTGTAAGACTTCTGTTGAGAGATTATTGTTTTGAACTTTTCTATATATATACATAAATAAACCCAGCCTTAAGAACCTGCAGTCTGAGATAAAATAAAGCACTTGGAGAAGGCACAATCGTACCCACTGTGCAGTCACGAAGAAAAATGCACCATTTAAGAACTGAATTCACACAATTATTCAGGGGCTTCATTTTCATTAATGAAAGTCAGAATCATCTTCCTCTGAAGTCTTGTGGTTATCATAATGCCAAATGCATGGAGGGAAACAGTGGCTGAATAGAGACTGAACCTAGACTACCTTCCTCCCAGCTGTCTTGTATAGCAGCACCCTAGCACAATGCTATGCATCCACAATTACAGAGGTGCTTCTCTTTTCTTGCTCAAACTGTTAACAGCCTGTGTTTGCTAGATGGCATGGCTATATTGCTCCTCAGTGTTTCTTTTTACAAGGCTGAGAATTTGTATCATGCTGCTAGCTCAACTTATTTCTAGGGAAAGAGAATGATTTTGATCTGAGCCCTTCCAAAAAGCCAAGGCCAAATCCCTCAATGCCCTCTAAGTGAAACACCTTTTTCTTGTGGCAATCCTCTGCAAATTATGCTCTCCATGGACTGTTCAGCTTTTCTAGATGAGACCCATCCTACCGCTGGGATCACCATGCTCCCTGGAGGCAGAAGAGAGTGTGGAAGACAGCAAGAAGTAGCTGGTGTTGGCATGAGATTATCTTATTAAGACCTGGGTAACTGGGCCTGTGAAATTAAATTACAACTTGCTGTTGGGCATAAAGGCAACAGGCATCGTGCAATGTCTAGATGTGAGGCTCCAGGGTCAGAGCTTGTTATTTTGGTCCATTTTCATATCACTGATGAAGGTAAATGTAAGAGGCCAAATAGTGGCTGTCAGGCAAGTGGATGAGGATCCTTTCACTCCTTGAAATGCTGTCAATTCCATGTGTGAAGTCAGGGATACACAGGAATCTAAAGTCCTAGTGCCCAATGAGATGTGGAGACAAAGGCCTTAGATACGTGAAGCAGAGGTGCAGAAGAACACCCAGATCAGACAGATATTATCTGAAAAGTGGAGACAGCTAGGGTTCAACCCACCTTGGGAAATACCAGAAGGGAAATAAGAACAACTGCAATAAATAAGGAAAGTAAATTAGACTGCTAATGTCAGTTGGCTGGCACATCGAAAATTAAGTGACGTGGTAAGGGAAAAACTTACAGGTGCTGGCACATCTATGCATGAAGCCTGAAAAACAAGTTAAGGGGGCTAAAGTGGTTGCCTTCAAGGACAATCCTGATACAATGGACATCTCATAGAGCTGGGATATGGAGGATCAATGGGATTCAATGTAATCTGACTACCAGTTTCATAGGAATGATGCGGTAAGGTGGTCAGGGGGCAGAACAGCACTCTGGGAAACATTCTGAAATCAGCAACAGTTTATAAAACTATTACAGAAAAGCATTACAGAACATGTAGGTGGAAATCACAGTCTAATAATGAAAATGCTTTTTCATCTATAGCACTGTACCTCCTTGATCAGGAAAGAATGAGTGATCAAGAAGTAGGATTAGCAAAGCTGTGAATTTTGGACAGGTAGCAATAGGGGGATTATTACTACATTGAGAAGTCAATGACTTTTCAAGAATGAAATACAAGGAGAACATCTTTGGGTGCAATAAATGACTGCTCCGTAAGACAGCTGGTCCTAGAGCCCACAGAAAAAGAGGCTGTATGGGGTTTGGCCTGGACTGGTGCATTACGTGCATGTAATTTAAGAGGTTTTGACAGTAGTTTTGTCACTGTCTGCTAAAGAATCCACAGCAAATCAAGATTAAAAGCAATTTTCCTGTTGGTACAGTTGTCACCATGTGCTTTTGGGTCACCTTTCTGAGCAGCCCATGCAGGGAAGTTGCCAGCATGGCTCCCTTGCGTTGTCGGGCAGATGAGAGGGCTTGCCATGCTGTGGCTCTCCTGTGAAAAAGCAATCTTAAGGTGAACATTTTCCTAATGTTACACTTGTTGGGCAAACACAATTTCTGAATAATTTATTTTGTCTGAATACTTTGAGTAATTATATTTTACCAAACTCTTAACTTGCAACTGGATAAACTATTTCTCCTGCCTTTCCCAGAGTTTTATTCTGAGAACAGCCATAATGGCTGGTAAAGGTCTGTGGTGACTCCATTTCAGTGGCTTACAAGACAGAAATACCCCTGAGCACTAAAGGTGAATATTTGAGTAAGACTGGCCAGAAATCTGAACTCATTCTTGATTAGCCCTTTGGACTTTGTGCGGTTTTCCTCTTTTCCTCTTTTCTGACATCCAGCAGCCAATGGATGGCACTAAGATTACTGCCCTGCTCACAAACACATTATAACAAGTCTCACACTTTTTAGGGATTTAGGAATACTGAAAAATTGTCTGAGGCACTGAAGTTGGGTTGTTTGGACAAGTGTGAGGTTGGTTGCCTCAGCTCTTGTAGTTCTAACAATGCTTCTCCCCTCACACAACCTTTTTTTTTCCCTTCCCTGCTTTGGGACTACTTACAGCTAACAGTAAATTCTCATTGGAAATCTCCACATAGGTGTGTATGGATCCTCCAACATGCTGAGAGTGCATGCTGTCCCGTCACTAGTGGGTAAAGATGCTAAATAGCCTTGGTCATTGTAGTAATGCCTAAAGCATGCTACTAGTACCTGCCTAGATGGTAATTTCAGAGGATCTGTAAAAACACTGTCAGGAAATGGTTAGATCATGAAGAGCTGTCTCTGAAAAACAGTCATGAGCAGGTTGAAAGTTTATGGGTAAGAATTAGAGACTGAGGCAACAAAGGGAACCTTGTGGTTGACATTTACATTGGTCTGGGTTCACATTTTCAGTGCCATCTCACTGTATGCTTCACACTGCCCTTTCTTGAAAGGCTAACTCCCCACCTGGGCCAACACTGATGCAGGAGCACAACCCAATACTTGAAATAAAGGAATGCTCATAGATAACTGTGACAGCAGCCCTCACCCTGCTTTGGCAATCCCACAAGAACACTGCTCTTCCTTTTTAAATGTGCTTTCTCTACCCCAGAACCCTAAGCAGCAGAATAATCTTTGCTACTGCTAAGGCTGAGTGATTAACTACCTTGTTATGTACTCGCAGTCCCAACTCCCAGCAATGCAGAACACAGACAGTAGTGTCACAAAAATTATGTTATCAGGTAACTATTTCTAGCATAAATGGATTAGTCTCAAGATAATACATATAAATATATACACACACACACATATATATATAAGCATGCCTGTGCTGGTTAGTGAATGCCCTTAAATCAGTTCTATCCTGTCAGCTTTAAATTTTGTATTTTACATCCTCCAAGTCTGAAAATGTTTATTGTTATTCACATTCTCCTTTTTAACATTGATACAAATACTGAATATTAAAACCGGTCAAAACAATAGAAGAATTTCATTTTTCCCCCAAAATTTTAAAATTAGGACATCAAGTAGTTGGTGGACAAAAAAAGAAGAAAGGAAAAGTAATTTTAAACAATCATTAACATTTATGAATTTTCCTTCATTTCAATAAAAGCCTGAAATATACAGTTCACACTCTCAAAGAGATGACTTCTCAATGCAAAGATCACATATTGCTATTTGATTTGGAAAAAAAACCCTAAAAGAATCCTAAAACTTTATTATTTATCATTAATTTCTTAAATTCTTAGAGAATTAGTTGTGGTTTTTTGTTTGTTTGTTTGTTTGTTTTTGTTTTTTTCTAGCTGGTACTGCAGTTTGGGCTTCTTTAAAATCTATTTTAGCCTTAAGTAAATAATTTGTCTCAGTTTACTACTAAAGCATGGAACGGATATTTTTGTATGTTGAGTCCTGTTGACTCATTTATGAACATCATGTCCACTTCAGAAGAGGACATAAGCCTTCATTATCTGCCACGAAATTCTAAACACAATACTTTTATTGTTTCAACAATAAGAAGTCTCACCTATCTCACTGGGAATAAAATTGAAGCAAGATCTTGTACTGTAGTTTTCTGTCTGCTACCACCCCTTGTCACAGATGACCAGATTGCAATATTTTGCAGTTTAAAGACTGAAATTTTATGAGTACATTGTTTCAAATGCCTTTCATGGTCCCCTCTTCTCCCCTGCTCACCCCACTCCCCAGATGACTTGTAAACTGTAAGTCTTGCTCCACAGGTTCAGCCTATTACCCACATTCTATTACTTTACTCATTTTTCCAAGGTTGTTTCTTCCTTTTGTATGATTTAGAGTCTGGCCTGAAATTTCATACATAAGTTCAGATCAGAGTCACTGTGTCCATAGCCTTCTAACTGAAAGGTCTGGTAAAAAAATATATATATAAAAGTTGAAATAAAGGTTAAAAATATTAAAAGCAACATATCTGTAAAAATGAAAAAAATAAACAACAGCTCACAAACCATTTCATGGAACACTCCGAATCAAACTGTTATGTCTACAGTCATTTCGCAGACATTAAAGCTCCCACCAGCCCAAAGAGGTCCATTTCAGCTGTAGTACTGTTACTGATTCTGTCATTAACTAGAATTGTGTTTGATTCTAATATGAATATAGAGTTTAAAAAGATATTTTAGTAGAAATTATATGTTCACATTTATTGCATTTTGCACCAACAACCGAATGCTACTATGAACTCCTCTGTACAGCTCTGTAACAAGGCCAAAGATTTGGTCAAAATCATCTAGTATCAACATATAGAAACTGAGACAATACGTCTAAGATTTAAGATAATTTGTTTGAAGTAGGTATAGTGTTTACTTACAGGAGTATTGTATAACCTAGAAGAATGCATAGAGATGTCAGGACCCAGAATTAATGGGAATTGAGGAAAGCCGACTGTAACAGCAGGAAACAGTGAACTTAAGCAAAAGCTAATTCCGGCATGGGGAGATCGCAACTCCACTCATGGACCACCTACCCAAATTACACCCCAGATCCATTTCTACAATTTTCTAACCTTTACTGCGCAGAATCAGAAATAGGAGGAGAATATGTTAATGATTTATAGGAAACAGTATGTTTATGTACGATTACTTAATGAATATGCATGAGCAAGTTCTATATAAGATGTATGATATTGGTGCTTGGTGTGTGTTGTTGGTGAGACGACTCCCCTGTGCACCTGGCCGTTAATAAAGAAGTGTGTGCTTATCTACATCACATTGGTGTCGATAGAGTTTTCGGTAACAGTCCCTGCTGGGGGACTGGAGGAACAGCAACCAAGTGGCAAGCCCTAAGCTAGTAAGTGGAACTGTGTCGGAGGTAAAATGAGTCCACCAAAGAGCCTGACTTCTACAGTCTTATGCAAGCCACTAAAACACATGTCCTGTCTTGACCCTCCTAAAATTTCATACTGAGAAAATGGGAGCTATGCTACTTCTGTAGTATTTCTGCCCAGTTTTCTTTGGAATTTGGATATATTTACCGATTTGTAAATGCTGAAGCTGGGAGGAACTTCTGCCAAGCTCCTGCCTGGTCTCCTGCATAACAAAGGCCAGAGCACCCCATCTATCAGCCTTTCGTAAGATGCAAAATTAGCAAATATTCCACATAACTATGTCTTCATCTCCAGCCACTGAACATCCATCCATCCTACTCATCATTCCAAACTCTGATGAACTTATTTCCATGAGCAACTGAGTCAGTGGTCATGCTTGCCCTGCCCACCTTTGGCTTTGCCTCGGTTCCCACAGGTCTGCTGACTTCATGCATCCTGAGAAATCATCTGGCTTCTGAGGCAAAAATGATCACCTCTCATCAGTTCTTATCACCTCCTCACTGGTGAAGTCGAAAAGTCATTTGCAAGGCATTCATAGCATCTGGCATACAATAGAGTTACAAAGTATTGGGCTTATACAATGGAGCTGGTGATCTGTGGTCCTTGTATTGGTAAGAAACACTTGGTTTCACCCAGTCCATATTTCCCCTCTTTGAGGCTTATCTAAGGAGTTTGTCAATGCAACTGCAAGAGAATGGGAGGGTGCATCCTTCCATACACTCCTGCTTCCTTGGGTGACATTCCTTAGACTAATTACAAAGGCCACAGCTGGTCCTTGATGGATGTTTGAGGCATTAATGACACCACCCTGTGATGCAAAGCACACACACAAGCAAGCTTTGAGACAATCATTTGGCATTTCAGTCTCTCACAAAGGCGTTAGTCAATAGGACCCCCTGAGAAACTGCCCTCAGGGACAAGGGAGTGGAACAGGGCTGGCAGATATTTAGGGGCACTTTCCATAGAGCACAAGAGCTCTCCATCCCCATGAGTAAGAAATCAGGAAAGGAAGGCAAGAGACTGGCATGGATGAGTCAAGACCTCATGGTCAAACTAAAGGGCAAGAAGGGAATGCACAGGCAGTGGAAGCAGGGACAGGTATCCTGGGAAGAGCATAGGGACATTGCTGGTTGTGTAGGGATGGGGTCAGGAAGGCCAAGGCGCAGATGGAGCTGAACTTGGCAAGGCATGCGAAGAACAATAGGAAGGGCCTCTGCAGGTATGTCAGCCAGAAAAGGAAGGGCAAAGAAAGTGTACACCCCATCAGTGAACACAGCTGACAAACTGGTAACAATGGATGAGAAGGCTGAGATACTCAAGTAACATTTTGCCTCGGTCTTCACAGGCAATCTCTCTTCCCACACCTCTGGAGTGGATGGGCCTCAAAGCAGGGACTGGAGAAGCAAAGTCCCTCCCACAGTAAGAGAAGTTCAGGTCTGAGACTGCCTGCGGAACCTGAACACACAGAAGTTTAGGGGACCTGACAAGATGCGTCCCAGAATCCTGAGGGAATTGGCTGATGTAGTTGCCAAGCCACTCTCCATCATAGCTGAAAAGTCATGGCAGTCAGGTGAAGTCCCTGGTGACTGGAAAAAGGGACACAGTGCACCCATTTTTACAAAGCGTAGACAGGAGAACCTTGGCAGCCATAGAAGATCACGGAACAGATCCTCCGAGAAGCTATGCTAAGGCACATGAGCACACAGAGGTGATCTGAGACAGCCAGCATGGCTTCACCAAGGACAAGTCCTGCCCAACCAACCTTGTAGCCTTCTCTGATGGTGTGACTACATCAGTGGACCATGGAAGAGCTACAGATGTTGTCTATCTGGACTTCTGTAAGGCCTTTGTCATGGTCCCCCACAACATCCTTCTCTCTAAACTGGGGAAAGAGATGGACTTGATGGATGGACTGTTTGGTGGATAAGGAATTAACTGGATGGCTGCGTCCAGAGTGTAGTGGTCAATGGCTCAATGCCCAGATGGAGATCTGTGATGAGTGGTGTCCCTTAGGGGTCTGTACTGGGATGAGTATTGTTTAATACCTTCATCCGTGACACAGACAGTGGGATCAAGGCACCCGCAGCAGGTTTGCAGACACCACCAAACTGAGTGGTGCATTTGACATGCCCAAGGGAAGGGATGTGCCATCCAGAGAGACCTAGACAAGCTTGAGAAATGGGCCCATGTGAACCTCACGAGGTTCAACAAGGCCAAGTGCAAGATCCTGCATATGGTTTCGGGCTCCCCTAGAATCAATATTGGTTGAGGGATGAAGGGATTAAGAGCAGCCCTGGGGAGAAGGTGGATGAAAAGCTGGACATGAGCCAGCAATGTGCACTTGCAGCCCAGAAAGCCAACTGTACGCTGGGCTGCATCAAGAGAAGTGTGCCCAGCTGGTCAAGGGAGGGGATTCTCCCCCTCTACTCCACTCTCGTGAGACCCCACCTCAGTGCTGTGTCCAGCTCTGGAAAGACTTGGACCTGTTGGAGTGTGTCCACAAATATGATCAGGGGGCTGGAGCACTTTCCCTGTGAGAGGCTGAGAGAGCTGGGGTTGTTCGTATTGTCAGTAAAGGTGAAGACTTTTTTCTCTTGTCTTCAACCCTTTATTTTCTTCTATTAATAATCAGACCTAGACTACAACTGAGAGCCTGCTGGTCTCCATGACAGCTCTGGACTGTAACAGGACAGATCAAGACACACACGCCCCCCCCCATGTCATTCATGGCTGCACACTTTGGTTCTGGAAACCAAACACAAGACTAGACTGCAGATTTCTTCCCAGAAAACCCACCCACACATTTGGAAAGCAACACCACCTGCACTGTTAGTAATACTGAGACTTTTTCTGCAGTTTTTATGCCTTTATTTCTTTCATTGTACAATAACTAGAGTTAAGGGCCTGGGATCCCTTGGGGATCATCCTGAGTCCCAGCTGCCGGCCTGGCCAAACCAGGGCCCCTGAGGGACGCTCCCAGGGTCACTGGTGGTGGCAGGCAGGCTTCTTGCCAGGCTGGGAAACTTCAGGGCTGCCGGCTCTCCTCTTTGGGGCTCCCTGGGGGCCCCCCTTGGACCACTGGCTGCCCCAACGGGGAGTGGAGGGCCTAGGCACAGCCTCCTCTGGGTCCTCCTGCAGCTGTTTTTGTTCCCCACAGGTGGGAATGGGGACACTGGGGGGGCTGTTGGGCCCTCCTGAAAGGGCTGGGTGCAGGAGACCCATCCCTCTTGGGAGGCAGCAGGGAGGGGAGCAGCCTTGGGGCTGCCCTCCCACTCCCCCACAGCATGGGCATCCCTGAGGTCCATCCGATGTCCGGGCTCCCTGCTGCACTGGCACAAGACGGTGTGCACAAGCTGGTGGACAAAGCTCCTCGTGTGCCTGCCTAGGGTGTCCCACAGCAGCTGGATCAGAGCCTCCTTATCCGGGCCAAAGTAGAGCAGGCTAGATAAGACGAGGCTCTGCACTGCTGCTGCTTCCTGGGCATCCTCGAAGAGCTGCCCCAGCACCTGATGCAGCCAGGGCAGTGAGGGATGGAGGACTGCGGGCCAGTGGCAGAAGATGGATGCCCAGATGTAGGCACAGAAGCCGCCCACCGGAGCCACGGGAGCTGAGCACGGCTGGGTGTCTGCAAGCTCCTCCTGTCAGGCGGACGGTAAATGACGGTGCTGCAGGTGGTG